GGGAAAACTGAATCCAGAAGAAACCAAAACGTAATATAAAACATGCAAATTTCCCGAGGATATTTGTCGACGATATATTTGAGCAGTTCCTTAAGATGTAACATATATATAAAAGAGAAAAAAAAAAGGGAAATGTAAGATGAATATTTCTTTCTGTTAAATTCATACGACTGTGTAAGCATGTGTTTCCTTGCCGTACACTCACTATCAAAATGCTGGGCTTGCTCCATTAAGAATTGACTGCCTTGTTCCCACTGCCGCTCGAGGAGCTGATCCAACGACTGCGGGATCGCACCACCACCTAGAGTGCCACTAGTATTAGCCATACCAGTGTTCGTGTTGTTGCCGCTCGTGGAGAACACCGAGGAGAACGAAGTAGGCGGCGCAACCGACTGACCCGACCGTATCTACTCGTAGGAGAAAGTATCGATTTGTTAATGATCCATAATGGGCTGCAATTAACGAAGTTTATATCGCCTTATAATCTCAAACGACGATCCTGCATCGACGATACGTACAGACGCGATCACTCGGCTGTGCAGCTGCGGTCCCACCAGATTCACATTGGAGTTGCTCGCTTCCGTGAAGATGGAATGAGCCTCGAGCTCTTGTGAGAGCGTATCCGACATTTTCTGCGCCATCGTCGAAGTGGGATTCAATTGATTGCCCAGCATGTGTGGTGCGCTCACTCCGTTTTGAAACCTGGAACCAGACGATCAAGTTGAGCCTGCAGCGTTCGAGAAGGTTCTCGACGTTCCGCGAGTCTTACAATTTCACGTTGTTCTCCTCTTTCAACGCGGTATTGGCGAGAGTGGTGGGCGTAGTCGACGCGGACGGCATAGACATGGTAGTGGTGTTCAGTTTCCTCTTTCGTCTTCCCGGGCCGCTACTGCTCATACTTTCCGAACCAGGACTGCTGGGCGGCGATTCCTTGACAGTAGCGGCTCCGATAGTGCTTGTGAGGCTTGTTCCGACGCCACTAAAGTGCCCGCTACCTGACGTAGGGCCTTGTATTATCGACGGCACCGGGGCTATTGTGATTGCTGGCGGAGGAGTCTGATGATTGTTTCTGCCGCCTCTTTTGGACGTTGTCATAACCGTGGCACTGGGTACAGATGTGACGACGGACGATGCAGTGGTTTGCGATTGCTGAATCGACGCTTGGTTGCTTGAGCCGCGCTTCGGCTTGCGAGCCTTCTCCTGCTTGTCTGACGACTGAGATCTAGTAAGAACCATTACGCTTCAAATAATTATCCTGTTATAATGCAATCTAAAAATTGGTCGCTTTTTCCTTTCAGTACACGATCACGATTCGTAGCTGCGCGATCGACTTACGAGAAACAATAATCGAGTGAAAAAGTTACTGTAGGTAAATTTGTTTACCTATTCTGTCCGCCATTTTGAACATAGTTCGCGCGACACACTTCGAGTTAGAGCACGTGACCTTAACGTGGTCAAAGTGTCTGTATTTTTAACACAATATATTCGCTATTATCATGCATTATTGTAACACGTTTTTATACGCTATTCTACAATACAAATGAAAAAAAAAAAAAAAAAAAAAAAGAAAAATTAAAAATGTCACATGACACACATTATAATTGCATGATGTACCATATAACATGATTACACTTGAGATACGTATTTGTGCAAACAAAATAAATGTTTGTACAAACAAAACATCAAGTTCAAGTCCAGCTCTATTATGAGACATACTAGTTATCTTTAAAAACATTCTTCGTTTCACCTTCAAAACAAGGAAAAAAAAGAAAACAATATTGATCGTTATCGATTATTGTATCAGTAAGCGAGACTCACCGAGACCGTTTCACTGGCATTTCCTCCATGGGAAATCTCTCGGTACACGCCATCGCGCTGGATCGCGGCTCGGTATTGGCGGCTGTGGTGATTATACTCTGCTGCAGCTGTTGATACAGAGTGGGTGCGCTCGTCACCACGCTCTGGACTGTATTGGGAAGTGAGGTGGCAGTCAACGGCACGGAGACAACTATACTATTTGACGAAGTAGTGGGCGATTGGGTAAGAACTGACGATTGGGTCTGCGTCATCGCCATTATCACAGGTGTAGTGCTTGCCTCCGTGGCGATTGGTGTGCTTGAAGACGATTGAATCGGGCTTTCGACCTTTACCTGCATAATCGAGAGGTTAGATTACACGAAAAAAATATATAAAAATGAACAAACGTATATACGTGCGAGAAGCTGACTTTTTTCATTTTTTCCGGTTCTATTGTAGTACTCAGGCTAGTGGCCTCGATGATTGTCGGCTGTATGTTATTGCTAGGGACTGTCTGCTGCATCACAGAGCTAACGGCGACCACGACCGACCCGCTGGCTTCCGAGCTCGCAGACTGATTCGAGTTGTCGTTTCCTATGACGGTCGGTGTGCGCGCTCCGGTCTTCCTCTTTTTGCTAGTGTGACTCGACGTCTTGCCGGAAGTCGAAGAGTTGGACTTGGTCTGACCGATGTTCTTGTGCGCAGTGTTGGAATTGCCGGGGCCTGTCTTCATCGCGGAAACGGTAGTTGCTGCCACCGCCGCCGCCGCGACCGTGATAGCGGCGCCGTCGTGTCCGAACACGCTCTCCGACTGTGTGACGATGGTCTCGACGAAGTTGGAGGTCGTGAACTTGCTGGAACTCGTGGAATTATCTTTGGGCGTATTGCGACCGCTGCCACTCTTGTCGTCCGCGACGCCGTTTATCTCTAAACTGGGACTAGCATTCGATTTACTTTTGGAATTCGTCGTGGACTTGGAGCTCGAGCTCTTCCGCTTGCCGCCCGACGTTTTAATCGGCGTTTCCGCTTCCTTCTCCGGCGACGAGTCCGACGAGCCGTTGTCGGCGGGTATCGGCTTGTAAGGCGGTATCGTTTTCACATTACCGCCTTTTTTCTGCAACCCAGACGAGCGTGTTATGCAGTAACCACTCTTCAGAGAGAGCGACGCTGAAGTAATTATCAAATCACCAACCAATTTCGAATAATGATGTTGGCAATATCCGCAATATTTTACATTGTCAAGATAATTGCCAGCTTCCTCGCAGAGCAAGCCTAGAGCCTGTGCGCATGTGACATGAAACTGCTGCCTGCAGCCCGTTTTGTTACATTGCATGCATGCTCCTACGTTTGCTCGGTTGCCTCTTCCTTGTTCCTCGCAGATGTAACATGACTAAAATTATTTTAATTATTACAACATCGCGTAGAACATAATTCTAGTGAATGAGATTCTAATACAAATGTACAATGATACAATACAGCATGATTTGTTTCAGAATTAAGACTATGCTAATAGGTGGAATATTTACCTTGGTAAACCTCTCTTGAGGGATAAGCTGCAATATAATTGGTTCCATTGTAGTCACGTTACCGAATCGAACTTCTGGAATATATAGAGCGCATACAACATGCGCCCATCCAGTTTGGTCTGTCCTTTTAAGGGCTCCATCCCGACTTGGACATAATTCGCATCGCTATGCAAATCATATTCAATAAAGTATACATCCCAAGATAAACATTTGGATAATGTTATCGTGTAGTTAATATTGTCATACAGTTAATAAACTATTATTTTTTTGCTTTTAAATAAATATCTAATGATAACAAATGCTCTCGATATATCATAAAGAGAAAATAATAAAGTGAGTACAAAAAGGGATATATTCTACTTACCACACGTGCACTACGTTCCTGCGACTCACATTTCCTGCAATACCATGGTCCCGTTGGTACAGTAACAATGCCATAACACGCTGTAAAAAAGAACATTATTTATATTGTCCACGCTGAATTAGCAACAGACTCCGTTACTCTGGGCGGTCATGTAACATCATGAAAAATGAGTAAAATACCTTGGTGAACGGCAACAGTACAGCCCTGTCCATCACAATACACCAGTGGATTCTCGGTCCAACCCCTCTCGTCAGAACACACACAGCACCCTCCGAGCATCTCCTTCATGCTGTGCCCCAAGCAATTCGGAAGACGAGACTAGCATGAGGAGCTAGGCGAATCGCGTGCTTCGACGTAGCGCGAGCTGGCTCGCTGCGGCGCGTGATCGCATCCTGGCGACGACGACGACGCAGCGTCCTGCAACGGCACGGCGTTCTCGGTGGGGGCCCGCGCCGTAGCCGTAGCCGCCGCCACCACCACCACCACCACCACCGCTATCAGTATCACCGCGTGTGGTGTGTTTGCAGCAGCTCTCGTGGCTCGATGCGACTCGGCGACAATACGGATACAGCACGCGTCGTCACGTGCGCGACAGCGCGCTCGTCGTGCGTTGTGCAGCGGCCTCTCTCGCGCGAGCCTGCCTCAGGTCGCGGAAATTGCACGCTGCCGTTGCGAGCGGAGAGAACAGAGAGAGAGAGAACGAGCGCGCGCGCGTTTTAGCGCGGAAGGGCTCAAAAGAGCACACCGCACTGGGTCGTCGCCCTTGGCGAACGTACACGTGCGCGGCTGGCGGTGAACACGAGGGCACACACGTGCGAACGCACGCACCAGCTCCAGAACGTGACTTCGGACGGTTTGTTATTTACGACGGCGCTCTATTTGTTTCGCTGTTCGGCCATCTTATTTTGGTTGTCGCGCGCGACCCGCGCATGCGCAGCGCGGTCACGCGCGATAGAAAGGCATATTCAGATGTTGCGCGACGGAAGTTCCAGCAAGTAGCGTGACGGCAGCGATCGCTAATGAAACTTCTCCCTAGACGCGCAAAAGTAAAGAGTGCGAAATTTCGTCAACTCGACGATTCTTGGTTGTTCCGCAAGAGGCGGCGGCGAAGGAAATCTGTTGGTCTGTTTTCTTCCCTTTTATGCGAATCTTCAGCACCAATTCTTTTCTCCTCTTTGTTACAATCATACGACGTATCGTATACCGGTTCCTTTGTAGGTTCTTTTCAAGTTTCGAAAATGTACACTAGTTTCTTGAGAAAGAACAGATTTTCACGTAACACGTGAAAATGTTCACATTTCCGCTTCTAGGGAAAACAATTATATAATCGTCAAATTGGGCAATCATCAGCTCCGATTTGCCATATCCAGAGACGTTTAATTGTAGCGTTAAACGAGACTTACATAAAGTTAGTGCAAATTATTAATTTTTTCATGTAAGAATTAATAATTTATCGCGTCTAACTTACTACGAACCTAAACGGGACAAAATGCTCTCCATTTACGCGACTTCGTTTCATTGGTCCGCATTGATCTATCATCTCGAGATGATGCGCAGCCAATGCAACGACTCTCATGAAAATAGGCACCAACGACATGACTTCGATATTAGCATACGATGATCCTAGAGAAAGTCCCTGATTCGAAATTGATACTTTCAAAGATTATGACTCCCCTTGATTGTGACTCCCCTTGATAATTGCGCGCCAATAAAAGTTGAGATACTGCCTCTGCAGATTAAATTGCAATGTGAGAGCATTCTTCATCGAGCTAGCTGTTAGTGCGCTCGATTATCATTAGCGAAGAGACGACACTTGTCTGCGCGCCTATCAGCTCAGAAATTTCCTTCGCGATTCCTCCGAGCGAAGACCATCTCGGTAAGTAATTCAAAATTCATTACGTTTATGAGGTAGATCGTAACACGTAATAAATGATGCACGTGATATTTGTTTTCATATAAATATCCAGAAGGTATCTGTTACATTGTCTCTTTTTTGTATCTTCCAAATTTTTTTTTTTTACATTAGTTCCTTTGGAAATGATATTATTGAGAATCAAGGATAACCTAAATGGTCACATATTAAACAAGTTATTGTACCTTCTGGGGCTGCGTTCCGATATTCACTGCCAGCACTGAAATTCTATAGTATACGTGACACAAACTATGTACCCAGACAGCACCGGACATCCAACGGATGTATGCTTCACATCCAATTTATGTCCGTATGTCCGATTTATGTCCGTCGACATAAATTGGACGTAACAAGGATGTCCTTATTGGACATCGGACCTGTAGGACGTCCGATGTACGTCCATCGGACTTCCTATGTTCGAAGTTGTGACAAACGTACGTCCTACGGACGTCTTTTGTAAAAAGAATGGACATATAACGGACGTCCAATGGACATCCAATGTGCTGTCTGGGTATTTCCAGTACTAGCAGTGAATTTCGGAACGCAGCCTGGATATTTATATGAAAAAATCATGTGCATAATTTATTTACCAGTGACGTTGTTCTCAACACTGCAACGCATTCACGTTAGTTTCGTAATGCAACTACAGTTTCTCGCTCGAGTTGAAATCCAAGCTTCTACAACCGAACATACCTTTTATAATCCGTCCTTCATACGACTTCGATTACGCGGATGCTTGATTCATAACGACCTAACCGAGTCACGAAATGTTTTACAAAAGCTGAATCAAATCTACAGATTTGTATTTTCCGCTTCGTGTAGATACTTTGTCCTGTGTGAGTCGCAAGAATATTTACGGAAACCAAAATTCGATTTTCCTGAGATTCTCATTCCCGATGCTTAGGGGATATCCTAAAAAAGAAAAAAAAGAAAGAGAGATCAGTACAATCGCTTCAATTATTTCAGTTAATTACTGCGTTTGTGTAAGTTTGATAAATTAATGCAGAATTGCGCGCGTATATGGACGATGAATTATCTCGTCGCGTTTTATGGAATAAGAAATTTTTCAAAAGTCAACGCGCAAATCATTGTGAATATATTCAGTCTCACGGAAGTTTTGTAAGTTGCTGGAAAATTTCAGCCCAATTAACATACATCGTTTCTGATTATATATGTTTCTCATGATTATTTATGCAAAAACGTTGTTCCAAGAAGAGGCGAGACTTTGTCAGCTTGATACAATGAAAAATTGCAATTTTCATAGCAATTCATTATGCACACATTGATATATTCGTTTTTTTGTGTTTTATTTTATGCTATTCTGTTTGCTTGCTTTTATCGCGCTTAGGATTAGTCTCGTTTAAGACATTAATATGCCGCGCAATACTTTTTACAATTTCAACTGTATTATTGTAGTATAATTGTATCATAATATAATAGAGATAATCTCTGCGGAACAGTATTGAATGATGATTGGACTCGATGTTTACGAGCAGTAGCGTAATGAATGATGTTGACGTAACACAAGATGGAGATAAAATCATGAAACAAGAAACTAGCGATTCGTAAACACGTTTCTGTGTCGTTTAGCATTAGTTACGTTATCAAAGAGAGAGATATATATTATATAATATATTATTGAGAAATGGACTTTATTGAGAGGTATATAGCGCACTATCGTTCCAACGACTTTATCGCGAATAGCTTACTTCGGATTACAGTGTGTGATCGACAGTCACCGAGTTAAGATCATAATTATGAGGTTCGTTACATTTTTATATAATACTTAACTCTTAGAACTTAGTCTTCTTTTAAGCTCTCGAGAAAATAATCTTTTGTCTTCCTTACGTTCTCACATATGAACAGAAAATATTTTGAGAGAAATACATTTTTCAAATATTTGCTACGATATAAACAATTAGAGCACGAGGAGTCATTTTAATGATATCGTATACGTTTTTAACGATCTCATTAAGATTATATTATGCTCTAATTGCTTACATCATAATAAATTCCTGAAAGGTTTAAGAAACGAGATTTTATCGCGAATTTTAGATGCATAATGTAGTTTTAAAATGTAATTTTCAGGATAAAGGATAGGATTCATTTTAAAGGATAAGTTGCGGGATATCTTAAACAATTTAAATAATAATATTTTTATATTAATCATCAACATTATATAAGTCTCTTCGGGCGGCTGTATATATTTAATTTTACCAAATCTTGAATAAGTATTTCGATCGAATCTTGATCGAAAAATCAAAGTATCTTCATTCTACGCATAAAAATATTAAGATTAAATTTATATACAGGGTCATCGAAAAGTATCGGACCTCCCTAATATCTTCAGTTAGAATGCATTTTGGAGAAAATGTCCAATAACAAAGTTATATGGTTTCAAGCGGGGAATAAGGTGATAACCTTGACCATGCCCTTCAAGGTCGTTTCAAAGTCAACCTTATTTTTTTTAATGGAACATTTTATTGCATATTCTTATAGCTTATCTTGAGAGCTTTCCAAAACACTATAATAAAACATTTTTTCATTAAGTACTTTTTGAGTTGTAAAGGTTTGAAGTTAACAATTTGTTAAATAGTGTGTGATTTCGAGCAGTTAAGACAAGAGTGATGTGTGATTCCGACCAGTTAAGGCAAAAGTGGTGTGTGATTCCGACCAGTTAAGGCAAGAGTGGTGTGTGATTCCGACCAGTTAAGACAAGAGTGGTGTGTGATTCCGGCCAGTTAAGGCAAGAGTAGTGTGTGATTCCGACCAATTAAGGCAAGAGTGGTGTGTGATTCCGTTTATAACAGATTGGCACATTGCCAGGCTGTTGAAGGGCAACAATTTGAACATTTGTTGTGAATTGTTTGGTACAATGAATATTTTGCCCAATATTTAAACTGACCAATTGGAGTGAAATTCGCCTTAACTGGTCAGAATCACACACCACTCTTGCCTTAACTGGCCGGAATCACACACCACTCTTGCCTTAGCTGGTCGGAATCATACACCACTCTTGCCTTAACTGGCCGGAATCACACACCACTTAACAAATTGTTAACTTCAAACCTTTATAACTCAAAAAGTACTTAATGAAAAAATGTTTCATTATAGTGTTTTGGAAAGCTCTCAAGATAAGCTATAAGAATATGTAATAAAATGTTAGGAGTTCCATTTAAAAAAATAAGATTGACCTTGAAATGACCTTGAAGAACATGGTCAAGGTCAAAGTCAAGGTCATCATCTTACTTCCCGCTTGAAACCACACAACTTTACACTGTTGGACATTTTCTTCAAAATGCATTTTAACTAAAGATATTAGGGAGATCCGATACTTTTCGATGACCCTGTATATACCATATATATATACAGGGTGATCCGAAATTCTCGCATTCGAAGTACAGGACATGATACTTTATGCTAACATAAGCAACTTTTTCCTTTAGCAAAATTGCGTTCGACAAGTACTTTTTGTAGAAGAACGTGTTAAAGTTAACGAATAATTGCTCTTGCCTATGTGGCGCTCAAGGCCGGCGCGCGCGCCTCACTTGTCCTAATGTACCTAATCAGTGACTAATATTAATAAGTAATGCCTTTTAAGGCATATAATTATAATTTACAATCTTAAATAATAAGAATCAACTATGAAGCGGAATTTTGACCTTCTTCCATATTGTACTGCTTAAATAATGAAAAGTTAATAAAATAAGTACTGCCTTTATTTCTTACGTAATAAATGAATAAAAAATTGTCCGAGTGCGCAATATCATCTGAAAATAAAAACAAATGTAAATAGCAATATGTTTTGCGGATTGTGAAATCCCGGTATTGTTTATAGTTGATTCTTATTATTTAAAATTGTCTTAAGTACAATCTTAAGATGTCGTCAATTAATCACAACAGAGCCGTATGAGCGTCTTAAAAGATATTACTTATGAATACTAGAATACTCACTGACTAGATACACGCGAGTGAGGCGTGTGAGCCAGCTTTGAGCGCTACATACGTAGATACGAGGGTAGCCCCAGAAGTACCTGACCTGACGTATAGATAGCGGTTGTTGTTTGAAAAGAATGACTATGGTAGAAAGTACTAACCTTATAAAGCTTAAGTTTGAAGTTTGACGACGCTACGTTGCTTAGTATTTGTTTGGCAGCCATCAATAGTGAACGCTCTCAGTGAATTTGTAAACATGGAAACATTGGTTATCGTTATGTGATACAATACTTTCATTTGAAAGGCCTCAGTCCAACTAACATCAAAGCGGAGCTAGATTCTACTCTGGGGGAGCCTGCTCCTTCGTTTACAACAGTAAAATATTGGGTGGCAGAGTTTAAACGAGGCCGTACGAGCTGCCAAGACGAATATTGCAGTGGTCGACCAAATGAGGTGACCACGCCAGAAATGGTGAAGAAAATCCACAAAATGATATTGGATGACCGTCGACTGAAAGTGCGCGAGTTAGCAGACATGGTAGGCACTTCAAAAAGTGCTGTACTTCGCATATTGACTGAAAATTTGGACATGAGACAGCTGTGCGCAAGATGGGTGCCGCGATTGGAACAAAAACAGCGTCGTGAGGATGTTTCAATCGAGTGTTTGGCGAAGTTTCGCAGCAATAAAGCCGATTCATAACCATGGATGAAACATGGGTCTATCACTTCACACCTGAGACGAAGGAACAGTCAAAACAATGGACCAAGGTGGCTTGATGGCTATTTTGAGGAGCTCGACGATTCCCACTATAAACAGGGTATCGAAGCTATTGAACATCGCTGGGAAAAGTGTACTGAGCTAAAAGGAGACTATGTAGAGAAATAAAGATATTTTTTCCCAAATTTTTTGTGTTTTCTTTGTTCAGGTCAGGTACTTCTGGGACTACCCTCGTAAGAGCACTTATTCGTTAACTTTAACACGTTTTTCTGCAAAAACTACTTGTCGGACGCAATTTTGCTGAAGGAAAAAGTTGTTTATTTTAACATAAACTATCATGTTCTGTACTCCGAATGCGGGAATTTCGGATCACTCTGTATATATTAAAGAGAGAAATAGAATTACTTTTACAAAATATTTAGTTTTTAAATTAGAATATACGCCAAGTAGAACTTGAAATATCTAGTAGAGTATTTATTGTTTTCGTTAAAAATTTATCTTACTATGTTTTACTTTTCGTAGATTGACGAAGAGGATATATTTATACAAAGACAAACACATGGTATATTAAGAAAACATTTTTTCACGCTTCCGTGTGTATTATACACACGAGTGTTATATAAGTGCTCGATTTATATACTGATAGCGCTCCTATTTACCACGTTGTGTGGGAGTAAGGTTAGATTAAAATAATCAGCGGCAGATGTAGCGGAAGTATAGAGTCATAAGAAGCTTAGCTTCTCCTTGCTCCTTGCTCAAGATGGTGGTGCGGGCTGATGAGCCTCATTCTTCATGAGGTGCTTCTGTCATGCGAGACACCGCGGATCTAGACCAGTTAAGGTCGAAAAACCATTCCCTGTTCCGAGCTGTGTCGTGCCGTAATTAATGAGTAATTATTGCACCGGAGTAGACGACGTCAGTCGCCTCTTACCTAAGTGTAGGGACGACTGTAACTCTTCTTCTGTCGCCTGTGATCATGCTTCGCGAACACCTTTATGAAAAAACTCCCAACCTATTTGTCACACATAAATTACAACAATGACTTCCTGAGATGGTCACGATGATTATAGCAAAGAGGATCACGTATCTTTCGCTTGCAGCAACACGCGCACGAGAATGTCCCCTCATCGGCCATGGGGCTCCACGGAGAACGGTCAAATAGAGTTCGAGTCCTTGACCACCGAGACCCTGGAGGGTGCCCTCGACGTGATAAGGAAGTGCTTCGTCGTCAGGGAAAGCACGTGCATAGGTGTGGACTTACTTTCTGAGCCAGGAGCGGCCGAGGAGATTGTGGAACTTTGCAGGGACAGCGCCAGGGATGGCGTTACCGCTATAGCCGTCGATATAAGCACCAGGAAAGTTGTTGGCGTTGCCTTCAACAAGATCCAAGTGAGTAAACGATCATTATATTTGTCCGGTTGACAGAACCGATTCAGTCAGTTTTTGTATCCAGCAAACGTAATAATAATTCTAGATGATGTAGCTGTGTTCGTGTTGGTCACAGTGTCATATGCATAATTATATGTTTAATGAGAGGTTGGTCTCGTTATGAATTCTGATCAATATGATTGTCCAGGTATGCACCGCTGGCAAGGGTTACTTCGAGAAATTCAGCGAGAACTGCAAGTGCGAGTCATCGAAGGCCTTCATGGACTATATGATAAACGTGGACGGCAGGTTGAATATTTTCAAGAACTACAACACCAATTGCGTCCTCGAGCTCATGAGCTTAGCCGTGCTGCCCGAGTATGGGCAACGGCATATAGGTGAATTGCTGGTCTCGACCGTGCTGCAGATCGGCACTGAGCTGAAGCGGGGCAACGACGTGAGAGTGCCGGTCATGGTACGCGGCAGCAACGAGGTGACCAACGCCAACATGGTGCCCACGTTGGTCTGCTGCATCTTGACTTCAAAGTACTCGCAGTCTATCACCGTTAAACTCGGCTTCAAGGAGTTGCTGAGAGTTTCCTTCGAAGAGTTCGAGTTCAAGGGGAAGAAGTTCAGCGATAGAATCACGACAATACACAAAGATGGCACCTTGATGGCCAAGATACTTAAGTAGATGTAGATCGTCGCGCAATCGAATAATCGCACAATCGAAATGATTTTGACACGGTATGATTTCGCTGAAACAGTAAACTTTGCTACAGGTTTGGTTAGACTAGAAATTCTTAGGTTTAGAGCTTTACTACCTTGTGCTCTTACCGACAACTTTCGTCTTTCGCGAGAATACCTTTGACCGAGTACATTCTGTTTGTTTAATACAGCACGCGCGCTCGCCAGAACATTGTAATGGGCCAACGAGCGACAAGTAGACCGGTGACAGCTAAATGCACAACTTGACGTCGTTGTTCCACTTGAGCTTTGATATCCTAGATTGCGATGTGGCTTTTTGCGGATGCGTACGTAACGCACTGCGTGCGGACTGCGTTACAACGGAATTTGATAATGCATTGATATCGTCAATATTAGACATCGCGTCAGTGCCGGAAATTTGAGATAATACACGCGAGAAATATTCCACGAAACACTGCAATCAAATGCGGATGTGTATGTGTGGGAACAATGATTCTACACTTGCACGGATATTATATTATATTGTATTATCGTTACTCGGTGATACGCTTTGCGGAATTATGCGGTGTTGGATGTAGACACGACGACAGACAGGACGTCGATCGTTTGTCAAAGTTGAATAAAAATAAAAAGAGTGCTGGTATTTCAGCGACTGTGTGAATTTCGCGGCTCCACTCGCGCTTATCCCCGAGAATCTCTCCAAGACACCCGTCGGCGTGAATTCTCGCGGCGGAGCTCGCCGAGATACCACAAGACAAGACTGCAAATCCGTCCGCGAATTTGCACCACGTATGAGAGCCGAGAGGACGGTCTCTCTCGCGAAATAGCGCGTACCGCGTACGTGACTTATCAAGCATCGCGTCGCTTTGGTGCGACTGGCGTTCTTCGGCAATCAAACGGTTACGTGTACAATGAGGACGGCTGCAATCGCGATGCAATTTTTGCGTGTCCCGGCAATTCCGCGCGTATAAAGATAGCGTGGGCGCAACCTGCGCGCCGAGATATCGCTCGTGAATCGACTCGACGAGAGAGAGAGAGCGCGCGCGCGATACACTTCGCGATACGGACGGTGCATCCAAGTGAGCCTCCGTCTCATCCGCGCGCTCGTCGGGCTTCCGCGAAGCGGGGTGCAAAACGTCGATTGCGAAAAACGAAGAAAGAAGCCGCAGTCGCTCGCGATCAAGCTGACCGGGACACGCGCTCGAGCGTGTGCGCGGCCGAGCGAATTCGCCCCCGGGAACCCCGGGAGCCCCGGGAGTCACGACTTGGCTCGCATCCGCCGTTCTCGACGGCACGCGGCGGCATTACGAGAAAGCCGGGACGCGATGCGCAAGACGCCGCGAGCGTAAACTTGTGCGTGTGTATCGATCAGCTATAGCAATTGCAGCCTTTCTTTCAGACGGCCCGGACTCGCTATGCCCGTCTGCCTCGGCAACGACCCCACCGGCGCCATCGAGTACAGGATCCTCAGTAAGGACCGGCTCGAGGAGGCGCTCGCCGTGCAGCAGCTGTCGATGCACCACGAGTGCATCGCGATCGGCATGGGCATGTACGAGGTGCCCGGTGCGGCCGAGGAGATGAAGCTCGTGTTCAGGGAGGTCGCCAAGGACGGCTGCACGGTGATCGCGGTCGATCGATCGGACCGTGTGGTCGCGGTGGCGTTCAACAAGTTGTGCGCAAGTATAGTGCTGCGTCCCCGGAAATCGGCGGAAACCGGCGCCGCGCGCGCTCTCGCTCGGCAGCTGCTTCGCGCGCTCGGGATCGGGACGGCGACGCACGTTGTTGTTATCGAGCTGTCGATGGTTCTCCGTTCGCGATAGCGCGTGCTATTCTTTTGCACGGATGTTTTATCTTCGACGTAGACCGGCGAAGCTATCGCCGCGCGATTCATATCGCATTTTTCGCGCGTCCGTCGACGCGCTTTTTCGATTCGCTTCTTTTTTTGTATCTACAAGTGGGCTGTATCTGTCCGTTTCGCGAGCAATCGCGATTTTCGGCGCTGCTCGTCCGTTTTATTACGGACGTCGTATCGCTTTCGAGCAAGGGATTATCGTACTACGAGGGCAGTCTGAAAAGTTCTCGGCCTAACGATGGAAGAAAATTGATTTTGCCGCGAAATATGTCTTATTTTTCAATATAATCTCCTGAAACTTCAATACATTTGTTCCAACGTCTTTCCATTAATTCAATACCATCGTTAAAGTGTGATTCCGGAAGGTTCTTTTCGCTCTGGTGTACAGCGGTGGATTCAAGTTTCATCAACAGTTATGAAACGACGCTTGAAATCCATTTTCCGTTTTGCTTAAAACGATTAAAATGTGCCAAACACACGCTTGAGAAATACGCATTCGAATGCGTTTTTGGTCAATTGTTAGCAAATGCGGCACCCATCTTGCACAAAGCTTTTTCAACTGGTGCTATCACTCGAATGTCGACTTGACAGATCGAATAAAATTTTACATGGGTTTATATCAGGGATCAGCCACTTTCCAATACAATTGTAGTTTGACAGTTTCTAATGCCATGTATGTGTCAGGTCGAGAACTTTTCAGACTGCTTACGTATTATCGTTTATTTGCCGTTGCTTTGTAACGTTGTCGCACGTATTGTCGAATGAACGCGACGCGGCCGGGTTTAACGGAACGTCACACTCGCCGATTGTTATTTCACGCACGATTTCACGCGTGTGTTTCCAGGCGCCTCCTAAGCCGGGAGAGACGGATCCCTTCGAGGCTTTCGTAAAGAACAACGTCGAGCATCGGCCGTGCCGGGATCTTATTGATTTTCTGGGTGACGTGAGTTCGTTACTTGAACCGCTGCAATCAACGGCCTTAATAGAAGCGCTCTAGTTTACCTTGCAATGTTGAAAATCCCTCGCAAACAACGATAAATTTCGTCGCTATCACGAGCTACACGCGCGCGTTATAAATTAATCTCCGCGAGTCTTTCCCGTAGACTCGCGTTTGTAGGGCATCGCGTTCGCGTATCGTGTAAAATGTGACTTTCCGTATATCGCAGGCCCTTACACTTCATATTACCCTATCGATTTATTTCTCGCCGTGGTTTTACCACGATATTATTTGCATTCATCAAGTGTCTTGACGACCTGGAGGAGATTGGAAAAATTTTCAGTTCCGCGATTCCACGCGGAGCTGAAAATTAAAAATTCTTACACTGAGAGAAAAAAATATTTAAAAATCACAAAAATATCTCTTTTCAAGCACCGTTTACAACACGTATTTATTAATAAAACCTAAACAAATAAAGTCTAAAAAAAGAGTAAATTTAAACCCTCTTATTTATGAAGAGTAAACAATTGCTTTTCCATGAAGAAAATTACAGCTTCGAGGAAATGTATATTTTTTCATTTGACGAAAACGTTTTACCAAGAAAAAGATAAGTATATTTGCCGGAGTAGATAAGTTGTTAATAACTGGAGATAGATCTTTTATTTCTTAAATGTTTGTTCTCTCAGCGTAGAACGTGCCGAAAGCGGATGCAGGTTGGATAATCGCGTTATAAATTGACTCATAGTCGTCCAATTAGAAGGCAACTTTTACGGTAAACGTCAACAGTCTTATCGCTTACCAAGAATCGTGCAACTCCCGTTATCAGGTGGAGTCGCGCGTGGACATCTTCCAGAAGTACAACGCGCGCGGCGCGATGGAAATTTTCTACATGGGCACGGATCCGCGATATCGAGGCCGCGGGATCGGCGGACAGATCGCGGACATGAGCATCGAGCTCGCGCGGGGATTGCGCGCGAGGAAGCTGAAGCAGATTTGCATCGGCAGCGAGATCACCAACAAGCACTTGCGACCGGAGGTGGTTTTCGCCGCTGTCGCGTCCACGTACAGCCAGCGTATCACGGAGAAGCTGAACTTCGAGATCCTGTATGAGGCGCGTTACGAGGATTACGTGCGCGGCGGCAAGAGAATGTCGGACAGGATAGGCCAGGAGAACCAGACGGTCAAGTTGGTCGCCCGCAAGCTTTGAAACGATGTCCGAATCTTACGTACGGAGAATCACATTCGGCGATGTTGCAAAATTACCTCTTTTATTGTTCCGAGAAAGAAGCGGCTCAATACCTCCGTGCCGTGCGTGAGGTTAATTTTTTTTGCATAGTATATAATATTATACAATATTATATGATAAATGGTACATCATATTGTTTGTGTCAGATATTGTATAAAAAGAATATATGATGTAATTACCGGCCATAACAGGAAAGAAGCGAGCATTAATTGATCTGATGCTAGTCTGTCTTAAAGCGACGTAGTTACAAACAAGGAATACATTAGAGGGAGAGAGAGAGAGAGAAAGAGAAAGAGACGGGAGGGTGAACACAAGTTAAAGATTTTTTGTACAAGTATATATATATATATATTAATATATTTAATATATCATTGCCACGACCGCGGAAACGCTCACGACGGTGATGCGTGGAGACGGCGTCACGATTTTGAGCGAAACTGCACCCCCGCTCCCAAGTGTATCATCCCTTGCACAAAATTATGCAACGTCGGGCATTCGCGTCCTTCTCTCGGCTGGCTCCAGGACGATCGAGACATCGGGCGATAATTCGCGACATCTCGACTTCGTTCGTAACTTACCGCGCGATCACGCCTAAAGGTACTTCAACAAAGCCACTGAAGACGATATATAATGTAACAGTCATTACGAACAATTATAATGTATAGCTCTTCCGCGGTTCTGCGCGGATATTGACGTGTTCACGACAGCACGGCGACGGAATCAGCGTGCGGGAATGACTCCTTTGCTGAGTTTTCCTCTCGCTTTTGTTAAGTCTATTGCTTACGATACTCATCTCCCGACGAACTATCGACAATATGCTACGATCGGGCGCGGCGCGGAACGCACGCGGAAGAGCCGCGACCGGGCGATTCGGCGCGCTGTTCTACTTTAATTACGGGAAGACACCCAGTGTGTGTATACAATATTTAGTAAAGTTATCATAAAGCGTCGAGATCTGAAGGGAACGTAACACGAGTCCGCTCGTTCTGCGAGAGTCGCCAGCGAGGACCTTCCTCCTGTACAATACTTAATCCACTTTAGTAGCGCCTCGCGCGACGCTTTACATCGAGATCAATTGGCGGTGCGCGCGAATTGTCTCGAGAAAAGTCCGAATTTCGAGATCCGGAGAGTGGGGCAATCTTTTTTCTCGCAAATGCGTGATACAATCTTGTCCCGAGGACGGATTATTATATTCCGGAAACAGTACGTACGGGGGGCCGCGTTAAAATCTACCCGTGTATTAAAATTTGCTCATTTGAGTCATCATTCTTTCAAATCGCTGTTCAACGAGACGACTCCGATATTTCGGTGCAGTTGCACTTCGGCGGATCGTCTCGGTGGCTTCTTGGAGAAAATTGTCCCACTTTCGAAATTCCGACACACTTTTCTCGGCGACAATGCATACTCACCGGATTTAGCGATTCGCGGTGACGTTCTGCGCGCGACGCAGCGCAGCCGCGGGCGAAGTTGACGCGACAGATTCTCACGTGCGCGTGCACAACGAAGTAAATGTTAAAAATTGAGATTCTAGTGTCTATCGCGAGATTGATTGAGCGTACTTTCGCACGAAATCCTGGCAACGAAGTTGTCGGTGGTTATTGCGTGTCGAGTGTTGAATTGCGACCAGCCGCCAAGAGAGTGTAGTGAATTCAGCGCTTTTTGAAGAGAACGTGCCAAAGAGCCCCTGGCTATGTTTCAAATCGCGCTTCAATTTCTTCTCCTCAACTGTTTTCCTCGTACGTGTACCTCGTAGTACAGATAATTACGCTGCGCGTATATTTATTGTGTGTGTGTGTGTGTGTGTGTGTATATGTATAATATTGGCACCCCTATATAAATTATTATATCTCTGCGCGCTACACGTATCGCATATTCATATCTCTCGTGGAGTTAACAGACAGACGTATGTATCTATAGAGAGTATACGCGGGAAGAGAGCTCGTCCTCTCGGGTACACGGGTTCAGAATTGAGAGCACTTCGGCACGATGCGGAGCGACGGCGGAGCCGAAATCTCGCGGGAGGATCACACTCGCTAGTTATTGCTTTCGGATTCGGCAAGGAGACACTTGTACGGCGAGAATGAAGCACGGAAGACACCTTTGATCGAATGCCCGAGAGTCGGACACGTCGCGTCGCGCGCGGCACGCTGAAGAAAGAGACATCGATGTGGCTGGGACTTTTCGCTTCCCACGGAAGTGGCTTCTCGCGAATCGTCGCTTCCTCTCGCACCCGAGCTCTCAATCGTCTCGATTACTTTTTACGCTAGACACAGCACGAATATATTCAATCTGGTTTACGGAGGCTATATACTATGGCTACGACATTCAGCGCTAGTCGACTCACATCGGCGAAGCTACTGACTGCAACAGGAGAGGTGGCTAGTGCTAGTTTTATTATCGTTGCACTCAGTCAGCCGCGTTAATTACTTTCCCTTGGAATTTCGCTTCTCGCGCGCGCGCGCTACTCACCGCTATTGTAAAAAATGTGGACGTATAGCTTCCTCCTCGTTTCCTCTTCGCCGCCGATAGAATACGATTGACGACACACTTCCAACAAGTTAACATCTCTCCTCCTCGGTCTTACGGTCTAATTAACTTACAGCCTGAACTCGTGATCGCTGTCAACGAAACTACGCCGCGCGTCGGTCCGACACATGACATAAATAACGACACTTACACGTTATCGCTAGAGTTATTATTATCGTTATTATTATTATTATTATTATTATTATTATTATTATTATTCTCAAGTAGTAACGCGACCGCTATGCAAACGCTTAAATACTTAGCTTAAGTCGAGTCGCTCGGGACTCGCGAGTTTGGCACGAATTGTATTCTTTTCGTTCGTTCTGAGATCACTCTGAGCCGCTTTTGAACTTTTGATTTTCCGTTTCTTTGTTTCTTCTTCTTCTTCTTCTTCTTGCTTTTTTTTTTCTTTTTCTTCAGAGAAGTTTGATTGTGTAGCATTTTCATGCCGGGGAGAAGGAGAAGTTCAAAGTTAGAGTCAAGAGTCGACGAAGAATTCGACAGAGGCTCGACAGACAACTGGCGAACGGCCGCGCGCCGTCAAACGGCGACGGAAGCAGAATTGCGAAGGAATTTCAGAGAAGGACTTACACACGTGGACGTTTTACGTTCGAGAAGAGGCATCGACGTAACCGTAGATACCGCAGGATGAGTGCGCGAAGGACGACAGTGCGGAAATGGAAAAAGAAGCCGGCGGACTCGAGAGAGAACTCGCGAACACGAAGACGACAGCGAAGACGAATGCGATTTTATGATGCGTGTGGTGGCTCGATGGAAAGTAAGAAAACAGTAAAACGGAAGCCGAGCAAATCGGCGGGACATCTTCGGGAGAGAGACGTCACGATGATCAGGACAACAGCGCGTGCGCGCGCGATGGCAGAGGCAAAACTCTGCGACGCGACGCGACGATTCTGAAGCCGCGCGCGCGAAATTCGCGCGTGCGAAAGATGCAAGCGCGGGAGAAGGAATTCGCGCGCGCGCGCACACGGCGACACGCGGATCGCGCAATCGCGCGTAATTGGCACTCCGATTGCGGGAGGAAGACACGGCTTGACACGGCGATTTTGCTAACGGCGCGTAAGCGGTCGGTTAACGTCACCTGCGAACTCTCGCCCGCCGCGCGCGCGAGCGGAGTTTCGCGCGCTCTCGCGTGCGCGGGCGTGAGCGCGCTGCTAACCACCGGGACGCAACTAGTTTGAGACAGTTTGTGCGCTCAAGTTTACGAAACTAGTAATGTCTAACGTTAGTGGAACGCTCTTTCGAGAGTTTACACATATATAACGCGTGCGCACCTATCTCAGTCACTTGCTTATTAGTATCAACGTGGAGACTGCGAACTTTGCAGCAGGTAATACTGACTCTCTCTCTCTCTCTCTCTCTCTTCCTTTCTCATTTCTTCTCTTTGTTTTTGGCGAAGTACCCTACTAATCGTCTAATCCGCATGCACAGGAACCTCCACGCGGAGGAGAGCCGCCTCGTGTATAAAAGCGACACGCGAGTGGAAACGTTCTCGATAGGAAGTTTCTTATTTTACACATTGCGTGGCCTCTCACGGGCGCTTAGCGTGGCATACTCGGTTGGTTCAGTAATGCTACTTTATCGGACCTCTCCTAGATCGCCTCGCGGCGAGGAAATGCAGCGCGAGCGCGGTGATTCTGTCAACGAGCGGAATGTCCATCGCCGACCGCTCCTCGCGGTTCTCGCTGTGCACGCGGCTGCTCGCAGCTAAAAAAGTACTTTCCGCGGTTTTTAATCGTTAATTTGCTACCCCAGTCCTCAACACGTGTAATTTGAACTTGCTCGAAAATATATAAAACATCTCGTTATCAAAATAAAATATAAATTGGCTATAACGTTGTGTGTGTGTGTGTGTGTGTGTGTGTGTGTGTAGCGCGACATGTGTTCATGTTCGGCAAATACATAGGAAACATTAATCGCGCTCTCTCTCTCTCTCTCTCTCTCTCTCTCTCTCTCTCTCTCTCTCTCTCTCTCTCTCTCTCTCTCTCTCTCTCTCTCTCTCTCTCTCTCTCTCTCTCTCTCTCTCTCTCTCTCTCTCTCTCTCCTTCCTTCTCCGCGCATTCTTCTTCTTTCTCCTTCCTTCCTACCGTGTTACCCTACGGAGGGCGAGCGAGTTTTACCGATATCGGCGCTTTTTCTTATCACAGCGCGCGCGCGCGCGTACCGTGAATTCGCGTAGGGGAAGAGGAATTGTACGGACGCGCGCGACAAATTGCGAAACGTAAGCGAATCGAGGACCTCGTCCCCGCGACCGAAGGAAGAACGTCGGTGTAGTCTGGAAACGTCGACAAAATATATCTGTCAATTGCAACAACAATAACATCGTTAATCCGGCTCGGTGAATTTCGTCGAGTCGAGTCGTTCGTGGCACCGGTCGGCTCGACGGGCGACGGACGGGAGTCGTTCCGTCGAGTCGACCGGGAATTCATTTCCGTGGATCACCGCTCATGGGGCTTGAAGCTCACCACGCGGTAGAGTCACCTGCTAGGAAGAGGAGATTCATCTGTGGCATGGCTCGCGCTGAATGTCGGGCGACTGAATCGTCTGGTAGGGTAGCTGGGTGTCCCGGAAGTGCGATCTGACGAGCAGCCCGAGCCCGAGCAGGACAACTGGAAGACCGAGCAGGGCGCAGATCAGCTCGCCCGTCACTGACGGCGACCAGGAGATGGAACCTGTTTCGGGTTTGACGTTTGTTTCCCTTCTCGAAAGCGCCTTTGCCTTGCTGGAATTACGACGGGCGAGCGCATACGAGGTTTGATCAAAAAGTAACGAGAATTTGGGAATTGCGCGCGCTGTATCTTGTCTATTCAGTTGATTCTCTTTTTTTTTTTTTTGCGTGTTGCTAGCACTACCTAGTGACATACGTGTCAATTTTCAGGCAGCTGAGTACTTTCCGAGAAAATAAAAAATTCTCGTTACTTTTGATCAAACTTCGTGTTAATCTTCGAAACGTTACTTGCAGAGTTTGCAACTCTCGCCTCATCGGAATTCCGCGGGGCGAGTCTCCGTGTAGAGAAGCCGTGCCGCGGCCATATTTCATCGGCTCTGTGCATATTTACCGCCGTGTAAACCGACGTCCATCTTGTAGATACTCCACCAGATACCGGATAACGGCAGCGACACGGTCGCGACCGCCACGCTGAACACCGCGCTCTCGCACAACGACAGGAAGTTGAGCATGGAGATCGAGAAGACGACGTAAGCGAGTAGAAACATCCATCCGTGGCCGGACACGTTCGAGCACAGCTTGCTACCCTTAAAGTGGCACATCACCCCGTGTTCGACTGTACGGTACAGTTCTACGGGCGACAAACCCTGCAACATCGTTCAAAGAGACCACCTGACCTTAAGTGAAGCGGACGCTGTCGCCGTGTGTCGAGTATTCTTTTCTCGAGTTATCTTAAGGGGCTAGGGGACGTTAACAGGCTCTTGAAGATTCACTTGTCGTCGGTAATCGCGCGTAAATGGCAACCTTTTTTCTCTCCTTCTCTCTCTCTCTCGAGACACTCACCCTACCGAAGCCGGGCACCGTGTCGAGCCAGCAGACCGCCAAGATTGCGAAGAAAGCGATCAGGTGTATGTAAAAGAGAGTTTGCAGAACCGGCGGCTTCGGGTAAGTCTTCGGCTTGATCGTCGGGTCGGGGTCAGTCACATGGAGGAGCCGGCCGCCCTCCTCCTCGGAGCCGCGGCGTCGAATGTCGCGGGAGGACACCAAGCGAGACACCGTGTAGAGGAAAGAATTGTTGTGCTGGGTCGTCAGCATCTGGCATACGTTCTGTTGCTGAAACGAGAACAGGCAAAAGGGAAGTCGCAAAACGTCACTCGCGCCGGCGAGTCCGATCGTCCGGAGAATCAAAGAGACAGCCGCTTGTCTAGGATGAAGAAAAAAAAGAAGAAACCTACTCGTCGAACGAAAGGACTAAATCGTCCAACGGATCCCGCGGAGAAAGAGAGAAACGCCCGGCGAATAACAAACAAGAATTCGCTAAGGACTCGGATCTCTCCCTGAGGATCTCACGCTCGACAAACTCCGCGAATTTGACGATTTTGCCCCGGAAGGGAGCGAAGAAGAAAGAAGTCAGTCGGGCTGAATTACCGCGGTGGTGTAATGTCGCTCGAGCATGGTGAAGAACATGGCGAAAGCGGCGAGACCGCCCACGTAAACGAAAGTCCAGAGCGCCCGGATGCCCCAGGATCCCCTCATGGCGGCTGTTGTGTGCGAGGACACCTCCCTTCCTCGACAGCGGAACTCGTCGCAGAGACCATAATCGACGCTTATGAACAGACCCACTATTATAGTCGTGCTCGAGAAAATTCGCTGCAAGCTCATCACTAAAACATTCCAGAGAGAAACACACACATCGCGCATGAATGTGCGCGCGACAGCTTAGGAAAGGTTGGTCGGTCCTGAAAGCTCCCGACAGGGTCATTTCATTACCGATTAACATCCAACGAGCACACGAGCTAGCTAGTCTATGTGTCTTGCGAATTCGTAACAATTACCCCGAGCTCACACATACACACACACACAAATGTACACACATTCGAAATCGTGTCAAGAGGCACTCACTTTTCCGGCAAAAGAAGAAGTAGTAGACGAGGGAGAAGACGAGGGTGATGCCTTTTATCGGGTCTTGCAAGTGGCACAGTACCCTGTTACGGTCGAGAGACAAGGTAACGAAGACCCCCGAAATAGCGTAGAGGAAGCCTATTTTGAGCAGGTCGTCGCAGGGTATCTTGACTCGCATGCTGTTCGGGATCAGCGGCGGCGGCGGCGACACCCTGTCCACGACGAAGTACACCATCCCCAGAATGCAGGCGGAGCACAGGGCAGTGAAGAGGAGTCCTGCGACAATCATCACGAGAGAGGCTCTACCTACCGCTGAGAGGCTCGGCCGCAGAAGCTGAGTCGTCGCGAGTTGCACGGGGGTGTTGGGGAAGGAAAGAAAGTTTTTCGCGACGGCGTCGCATCGCGGGGATAATCGAGCGACCAAGAGAGATCAGTTCGCTCCAATTGCATCTCGCAAGTCGCAGATTCGAAATTCCAATCATCCGACTGGCTGTACTGATAGAATGACTCGTACTTGTCTCCAACGGACAAACGTCCGCTCTATGCGTTTCAGGCAATAACAGCGTCAGCGCAATCTTGCGAAGCGGTTGCATCACGCGATCCTCCAACCGCCGGACGTTCGACGTGTCAACGCGCGCAGGTAATTTTGGAAATGACGAGAGCGCGCGGTAGCGTAGGCATAGCGCGGCATATGGCGCCGCGAGAACACCCTCACGGATATAAATAAATCGTTTGCAATCACGATGGACGACGATTCTCGCGCGCTGCGCCGATCGCCTCGCCGATGTCGCGTGGGACTTGCCCTTACAAAAGTATTTCACCGTTTTTCTCACCTCATATCGCCCGCTTTTGGCCCGTTTTTAACCCCTTTTCTACCCGTGCCTTCTTCATTTTTACATCCGTTTCTTGCACTCTCAAGCCTGCGCAGCGTATAGAGCGAAAAATTATGACGAGTATACGCGAGTAGGCATGAGTATTTTTAAGCAGATTGTCCGTCTTTAACACTCTTTTTTCAACTGATGAGTGACTGCACGCGTTACCTACTGCGTACCTCTTTTACTCAAGACATTGAAATAAACTGAGCAAAAATGTACGTGTTAACGCTGCTGTTGAACTCGCGGCTGAAAAAAAGAGTGTCAAAGACGGGCGATCTGCTTAAAAATATACTTTATGGCGTCGGATATACTCGTTTTTACTACTCGACAATCCGTCCTCACCACTCACTGTTTAAGCAAAAGTGCCTCTTTCTGGCCTAAAAACGATGTCATGGCTCGCCGAGTTGAAAGCACGCTTTCTACAACTCAAATTTACAATCAAAACCGATTATTGAGGGCTAAAAACGGGTGAAATATTCTTGCAAGGGTGACGTTTGATGCCCTCTAATCTCGTAATCTGACGCGACACTCTCCGGCGTGGGCGAGAGAGAGAGCGCGCGCTTAATTCGTTTAATTCGTCGCGCTTAATTACAGAATCATTTCGATATTACGCCGACGTAAATCGCGTCTTCCTCCCCTCGCCCCCGCGACAAACTGACGCAAGCTCGAGCGGCTGTCGCGTGTCGTCAGCTACCTGTGTAAGCGCTGGAGACCGCGCCGACGCTCTCGAGATAAAGCGGATAGCTGATAACGAGGACGGTAACTGATACCGCGACGGACACCAGGCTGGCTAGGAAGCGCAGCTTCTGCCAGTTCTCGCGGTCGGTATCGAACAGCTTATCGCCGGCCTGATAAGCGACATATGGCGATTCCTCGGTGTCGGTGTACTCCTCGATCTCGACGTCGCTGCCCGTGCAACGGAGCTCCTCCTGCTCCTCGTCGTCCATCATCGTCGACACGCAGCTCGTTAGGCCCGCCAGCTTCGCGGCCGTCCGCCGTTACCCTGTCGAGGCAACAAGACACCGTCATCTCTCTCTCTCTCTCTCTCCCTCTCCCTCTCTCTCTCTCTCTCTCTCTCTCTCTCTCTCTCTCTCTCTCTCTCGACGCCGCTTCAACGCCACCCTCTGCCGCCTGTGCGACGACGAGGGGGAGGGGGAGGGGAGGGGCAAGGGGAGTGTGTTTGTCTGTATCAACCGAAAATAATCTCCAGAGGCGACACTCTTTCGAAACGATTTCGACCGACGATTTCAACGACGACCCGTTGGCCGTGCAAGTTTCTTCGATATATAAACAAGTCTCCTACCTTCCCGCGTTACCTCCTGCGTACATATTTGATATTATATATGTTGCTGTATGCACTTTTCAAGAAGAGAGACGAGAGTAACGCGCCGCACTGCGTGACGCTCAAGTCCAATTATATCCCGTAGCTAACCTTCGCGAAAATAACAACGTCGACGAGTAAAGTCATCGCGAGTCATCGAGTTAGCTGAATTAACTCCCTCATTCATACCACCTTTTCCCCGCGTGAAAGACGACAAGCTTATCCTTTAGACGCAAGCAAGAGAGGGGTCACCCACACGCCGAGTCTACCGCGCTTTATACTCCCGGGGGACAAAGAGCGCGACAAGGAAGCCGCGAAGGCGCGTCGTCGAGGAGAGCGGGCCGCTCCGCAGAAAAAGCGCAACGTAAACAACGCGGCACCTGTCACCGGTGGAGAAACAGAGACAGACAGACCGAGAGAGAGACAGAGAGAGAGAGAGAGAGAGAGAGAGAGAGAGAGAGAGGGAGGGAGAAGGAGTCGCTCCAGTCAAGGTCGCTCAGCGCCGATAAACGTCCGCTAATTTGCCCCTCCCCAGCCATCGTCGCCTACATTATAGCACGCTATTGTCGCCTAGGGACTAACGGGAAATCAATTAAAGCGCGATGGAAGCTAATCGACATCGCCGGAGGCGGCTGACTGGGGCCGTGCTGGTGTCGAACTCACCTTTCGTGAGAACCTAACCTGCCACCGCCCACCTCCGGAGAGCAGACGCCTGTCCCAGGTGTCACGGCTCGTCGTGTCTTCTCCGCGAACGTCCCGGCGGCGGCGGTCGGTCACACCGACGACGACGACGACGACGACGACGACGACGACGACGACGATGGCGACAAGCGCGACGACGACACGCGGTGCGGCGCGTTAATCGCGAATGCTTGCGTGGCGGCGATAAGGCGAGCCAGTAGAAACCGCAACTTCATCCCATCGTGAGTGACGAGGAGCGCCTCCGAGTTGCGGCCGCCGCCAGGCTGACGCCAGGGCCGTAGCAAGGCGGCGGGGCAGTGGCGGAGGCGGCCGATTGATGCGGCGGAGACGGCGACCGCCGGGGCGATTCCTCGGGGGTGGGAACGCTCGGCGGAGAGACGCAAAGTCGACGGGGAATTTCACGGGGTTGGCCTGCACGGCACGAATCGCCGAATTGATCGCGCGACTATATCGACCCGCTGTTTGATCTTCCACTTGCGGCAACTCCTCGACTCGATTCTGCCCGTTCTGCCGGAGGGATGACGCCGTCGTCGTTCTCGGCCCTGCGGCCTCGCGCATGAGCGTAGAGGGGTGGTGGCGCGTGCGACGCAAGTCGCGCCGCGCGTCACGCTCCGGATTCATTCTGAAAATTCTGAATTATTCGCCGCGCGCGCGCGATATTGAGAGTAACGCGAGGCTGGGGACAACGGCTGCGTATCATTCTTCCAATTTAACAGTCTAGCCCGCTCTAGTCGGCATTAATCGTTATTTGCGGCGATTTTTGCCCACGACGGGCGAAAATGCCGTGAGACACCCGCTGATTATAATTGATCGAATTCCTCGCGCTGCGGGGGGATTCGTCAGCGAAAATCGACAGTGGCGTTGAGTTTTCAAATAATCCGCCGATAAATCGATCTCTCTTTCTTTCTCTCCTTTTCTCCGGTTCTCTTACTCGAACACGACTTGACGCCTGAATACGCCGATCACGACGGCCAGACGTGTTTTGAATGCCTACGTTGATCAACATTGTTGTTGTTACATCAATTTATATATTATATTCAACAATCAAACCTAATTTACCTGTGTGACACGTAAGCAGTGCGCCGTGGGCGATACGCAACGACGCTCATTTGCATGCTAGCCGCCGCTTCTCGCGCGCAGAAACTGCCGTCAGATCGGTCACAGCAGGGTATAACAAGCGGCGGCATTATGCAGGTGTATCTCACGGACGATTAATAAGAATACAGGCTCGAGCTTGGCCGTCTAACCGATCGGATTAGCAGCTTGCCACGCCGAGCGGGCGAAAACTCGTTAGGAGATGTCCGTTAGGAAATTGCGACAGGATCAGTCGAGTGATCGCGGCAGCTGTTTCAGTCGTCCGATTCGGAAATGAAAGGCAGCGATCTGCACGCAAAGCGCAAGGCGGTGTTCCGCATCGAGTCACGTGCATATCGCGTGCGCGCCGGCTCTGCCGACTTCCATTCCGGGCATTCACGGCAGACGACGTTCGATCACACTTGTAGAGTTGCTTGTAGGACGTTGCTTCCCGCCCGGGCGGGAGTCTTGATTTGTCGTGCTGGAAAAGACCGCGATCCTCTCCCCCTCGCAGACTCGCGGCGGAAGCGGAAAAGAGACTCCCTCTCGCTCCCGGGATTTTCGAGCTCTCTCCCGGATTCCCGAGATCGCGGGGATTGATGGAAGTAATTCCCCGCGATTGATGGAAGTAATTAACAGCGGCTGTATTCTGCGCGGATAACGCAGTATTCCATCATCACCGGCGGAATCACGGCGGAATGGCTTTCTACATGCCGGCGAAATTAGAGTATTCGTTACCGAGCGAAAAACAGCCCGGCTTCGCGCACCGCGCGTTCTCATCGCGAAAGCCGTAAGCTCTTCGCTTCGGAATCCCGCTTAATCCGCGTCTCGCTGCCTGAGCCGCGACGCGACTTTTTTCAGAGATCCGCCGCGCAAGGTCGTCGTCCCCCTTCTCTCGTTCCTCGGATGATCCCACATCCTGTGTCTCGTGAGTTTTGCTGGCTATTAACGAAAGTCCGGCGAGAGAAACAGAGGGATTGCGCGCTGAGTCGCCGGTGTTTTCGCGAAACTTCGTAAGAGCTGAAGAACTCGGCCCGGCGCGGTAATTACCGGCCGCGTAGCGCGCGCGGCGTTATACCACTGCGATCAAAAAGTATCCGAACTTTATTTTTAAAAATCAAAATTACAATTCAATCGTCAAAATTCTGATAGTCTCCTTCAAAGTAGTCCCCATTGTTTGTAACGCACATACAGGGTATCTTAAAAATACCGGAACCCCCGGATAACTTTGCAGGATTAAGTTTTCATGAAAAACTTTAAATACAAAAGTTGTAAAAAACGGACTTGTTGGTGACCTCGAATTTGACCTTGGCCATTTGACCTTCAAGGTCACTTGGAGGTCAACTTGCGTTTTTTGAGAAATGGGGACCCTTATTTTTATTACACTGTTTTTTTCTACCAATTAATTTGAACAACTTTTGTCTAAAATATTTTTTTATTTGCCTAATATTTTTTTAGATATCGGAGGAAAACTTGATAACTTTTTCATTATTTAACTTACGATATCTCGCTAACTACTTGTCGGAAGAAAAAAGTGGTACTAGACTTTCTTGTTTTATTTCGTCTCAAGAATATATTGTTACAATAGTGCCCTGATTTTTGTTCATTTGGTGATTTTGAAATTTCCAAAAGTTAGTGCACAACAATCTTCACTGACATAAATAACTGCCACTTTCAAACGGCCTGAAGGAGCGCCATGATTTTTTCACCAAATGTGAAGGACATATGTACCAACTTAAGAAAGCAAACGGATTTGATTTACAGTTTACCTGCGATTTTTAAAAAATAAAGTTCGGATACTTTTTGATCACAGTAGTAGATCCAATCGTCGCGGCCATTACAATAGCCGGACCGCCGAGTCTCGCGAGTACCTGAGCCTGAGGTGCGTGTCCTCGAGTTTGGAAACTTTAGCTTCAGCATGTGCGAGCGTCTACGTGGCATTCGGTGCGATAATTCTTTTATAAAGCGACGTCTTCGTCGGCCAGGCGAAATCGTCGATATTGCGAGCTATATTTTTCGCTTATGCGCGCGTGTTCCAGCAGGAAGCGGCAAAACCGACAATCGAGGAAAATGACGAGCGAATCGCTCGGAGTCTGCAATTAGCAGGTTTAATGGCTCGCGGGACACCCGATACGGCGAGAGTCGCGAGTGATCGAGATGCAAGCGGACGCCTCATGTGCGGAGAAATCTCACCTTTCGACGCTCGACTTTTGAATCTCGCGAGACTGTCACGACCAGAGTCGGCGGAGCTTTTCCGGGAAATATGCGTATTACATTCCCAAAGCCAGTCAGGATCCAATGAAGATATATATCCGACGTTTCATAATCGCAGGGTGAATAGGAGCACAATGCGCGAAAGAATAGCCGTCTCATTTAAAAGTGGAGAGCTCAGCTCTCTCTCTCTCTCTCTCTCTCTCTCTCTCTCTCTCCCTCCCTCTCATTTCCGCCGGCGTGCTTTATCGTCGTAATTCGAGAAATATCCCTTTCACTCGGCAGGATCGAGCTTCTGAAAGCCGGCCGCGCGCGCGCGCTCTTCAATATTGGATTCGTCGAGGACTCCATATAACAGAGAGAGAGAGGGAGAGAGAGAGAGAGTTAGCGGAACATCTTGTAGCGTCCATCATTAGCGTCGAGCCCGTATTCGCTCGGTCGCCTTTTTAATTAAAAAACGCAGTCGACTTCCGCGCGCTCTTGCAAACGAGCGAGCGGCCGGCCGCGTCGGCGACGACTTGACGCGCTATCGATCGTCGCCGCTAATTTCCGACGTTCGATCGCGGCATAGCGGGAATTACGTCGGCTGACTGATACGCTTCCGATATTTGCCAGTCGGAGCACAGTCACCACCCGACGAGTGGCTCGATCTCGCCCGCAGTCAAACCCGTTGTCCGCAAACAATGGCGGCCGCCGTAAACACGTGCCGTATCTACTGCGGCCCGGCGGGCGGCCGCGTGCAGCGCGACAAACGCGTATCGTTGATCATTCACGCGAGATATCGACATTGTAATATTCCCGTCATTAACGCGCGCCGCCTCCGTCACACGGAGCGCGCGCATAGGCTACGCCGGCGACACGCAAATATACTTACGAACTCATCTGTTAGATTTATAAAACTGTTCGCTCGCTGTGCGCGGGCGGACCCCGCTCGCGGGGAATCCGTTCCGCGCAACATCGCCGTCATTTCCGGCGCTTTGCACAAAGACACACCCCCTTAGTCGCTCGCTCGCCCCCAGTTTGCCGATACTCATTGGAGAGGCTTGTCGATACTCTATATCAACGATAAATATATCGACCCTGCGCGAGGGCTCCTTGAGGACACGTGAGAGGGCCGCGCGCGCCGCGTCGCGCCGCGCGTCGGCGGAGCGCGTCACGTGACGGAAATCGGCGTGAAACTCGGAGCCGCGCGGCGGCGTCAGTCAAGCTCAGTCGGCGCGTGGCACCCGTGTGAGGTGCATCGCTTCGAACGCTTCCAGCGCGAGCTGTTGATCGCGCGCACGGCGAACCGGTCGACGAACTTTGACACGGAAGCTCCTCCGCGCGAGAGATCGAAGCGGCGCTCGCCGAAAGCGAGTCAAGAGTTTCGACCGGCCCTCGGGCGAGAGGGAGAGAGAGAGGGAGAGGGAGAGGGAGAGGGAGAGGGAGAGAGAGAGAGAGAGAGAGAGAGAGAGAGAGAGAGAGAGAGAGAGAGAAGTTCGCGCACCTCGCGAGTCGATCGATCCGAGAGCGCGCGCTTCTCTAAAGAAGCTGCCGCTCTAAAGTCGCGATAAATCGCGCGCCGGCACGGCCTTTGTAGGAGGAACGCGGCGGAAACTGCTCGCTCGGACGTTTGTCGCGCGCGCGCGCGAGCGCGCGGTCGGGACGCGGAAAGTGGAAGAGGGAAAGGAGCAGTCGGCCCAAGTGGAGAAAGACGCTCGTGGTCAGCCGGCTCCGCGCTTTGCGGCCCGCGCGCGTTCGCGTCAATAAACGGCTACATCTCCGCACAAACGACCGCACGCATTAAGGGCAATAAGGGAACGCACGTTGCGAGCATTGAGAGCCGGCCATCGAGGACACTCCGCTGGCAGGGCAACCGGGCGCCGATAATCGAGGTCGATTGAGCGCCGATTAAATTCGAAATTGGCGCCGGCTCGGAGGGAACGCGGAGTCGAGGCGAGCGCTCGAGTGAAATCGGCTGCGAGCGCGGCTCGTAAAAATGGAAAAATGACGAGGAGGGAGGAGGAGGGAGGGAGGGGGGGAGAGAAGGAGAAAGAGAGAAATTGAAGAGAAATCGCAGGAGAATTGAAGATCTCGGAGATAAGGAGAGAGCAAGCCGGGAGCAAGCTTGCGAGTTTCCGCTCGAGTCGAACTCGAGCGAATTCGAGAGAGGGCGCGTTTAAATTTTCCGACGCTAATGCCACGTCAAACAACGCAAATCTCTAACTAAACGAGATTTAATCCCGTAAGAAAATAGGAGAAAGGTCGAGGGGTTCTCGCGGATCAGCAGCGCGACCGGGCGCGCGCAGCGCTCCAATAGGATATTATATTTCACTCGGCGAGCGAGAGTCGAGCGATTCGGACATCGCCGGCGAGGACCGGCGACGGAGAGACGAGCTCTAAAGCGCGAGCGTCTTGACGAGATAATCACGGCGCGCCGAGAGAGACGTTCCCCGTGTTCTTGTCCCCGCATGTGGGGATTCCCGCCGGTGGCATCTGTCCGCGTTTTCAGAAACTTGTAATAACAATTCTCGCGGGGAAACCGAGCGAGGATTTTCGCACTCGTGCGAGGGGACGGACGTACCTCCTCCTCCTTCTCCTCCGACGCCAGCAACGCGCTGTACACGGCTCCGTCGTGTCCTTTGGGACTCGGATAAGGAAAAATAATAGGAGCGAGAACGATAGGGGCGAGGAGCGAGATAGCAGTTAATACCGGCGGATTTTCGCGCAGAGTACCGCCGACTAATCCTTCCCTCCCGGCCCTCTCAGCCATCGTCCCGGCGCCGAGAGGAGTCACCGGTGAAACGGAGTGCGGCCAAGTCGGAGCGCAGCAGCCGAGCGCGCAGCTTCGCCGGCGAAACGACGACGACGACGACGACGACGAGCGTCGGATTCGCCTCCGTCGTGTGTGATTTGAGCGCGACGACTCTCCATCGGTCTCCTCCAAGCTGGAGCGAACGTCGATTTCCGATGCGCTCCGCTGCGTCGTCGGTGCTCGGCTCCAGCACCTCTCCATCCGCAGCGGGACACTCGCCGCGCGACTCGACAGCGGCAGCGGTCGCGAGGTAAAAAACCACTCTCGGTCAGTCGTTTTGCGCGGCTCCGTCGTGACGAAACCGCGATGCTACGCTCCGGTGGTGCGCTTCGCCGAGAGGGACAGGCCTTCGTCTCGTGAAAAAGCCAACTTGTCACGGAATAATTGTGGAATGTTGCTGCGGAAAATCTGAGGAAAATCCCAAGGCAGAGAGAGAGAGAGAGAGGGAGCGCGCGCGCGCGCGCGCGCGCGCACGAGACGGAGAGAAATACAGACAGGAGAACCGATAACGATGAGAGACGCGCCGAGTTGCTTCACCATACGAGGTAAGCGGATACTTTCAAGCGTATTTTCCGAATTCCACCGTTGTCGTTACGTCGTTACGTTAAAAATACAGGGCGAATCAGGAAGGCGAGAGAGAGAGAGAGAGAGAGAGAGAGAGAGAGAGAGAGGCAGAGAGAGAGAGAGAGAGAGAGAGAGAGACGCGTGATCGCTGCAGAAATCGCAGCGCATGGTCGTAATTCTCAATTATTTTTATTCGGCGCGAGTTCCCGCGGGGATTTACGGATGTTCGTCTCTTTATCGAGAAGACGCGAGGCTGCGCGTCGCTCTCGATTCCATTAAAGTTTCCATTACTTTGGAACTTACGACGCTAATGAAAACTGCGCCTCTCACTCGCGGGGAATAACGCGGCGTGCAGGTGACCTGCCTCCGCATTGCGAAGTATTTAATGACTCGATATTCGCTCGCTCTCATCCCCCGGCCGCGGGGCTACGTCGGAGCGGAAAAGCGTCAGAGGGGATTCGTCGGGCAGAAAACGAAACGCGAAGTCCCGTCTTCGGCTGCGGAGCGATCAGCGGTCGCTGACGACCCGACTCACGACGCGGCGTTATAATCCTGTCTCTCGTCGCCGTGAATTCTCGGCGAGGGAGCAAGGACGCGTCTCTTATCTTCGTTTGCGCGTCGGACTCTGACGTGTCGAGGAAATTAACGAGAAGTTGCGTCGACGCGCGCTGGACGCAACGCGACGATGCGAGAACTCGCGAGTTTTACCGTTAATTAACGCAACGGCCCGCTAATCGCGAGGAAGCACGAGGGAGAGAGAGAGAGAGAGAGAAACAGAGAGAGAGAGAGAGAGAGAGAGAGAGAGTGAATGAGTGAGTGAGTGAGACAAACAGCTCCAGCGAGAAACGATATCTCTCACAAAGGCGCGAGTAGCGCGGCCGGCACTTTTACACGCGAAAGCGAGTAAGAATCCCTCTCGCGAGATATTCCGAAAGATTAAACCAAACATTTAATTAACTCCTCGCGCCGCCGTGTTGGCGTAACCGTTACGAAAGTTCACACTTTCTCGGCGCGCGCGTGCGCGCGCTGACTCTCTCTCTCTCTCTCTCTCTCGGCTTATTAGGTCCTTTCGGAAAATTCAATTTCCCGCCGAGGCGAGGAAATGCAGTTTCGTGTATACTCGGACTCGAGCGCGGTGCAGGAAACGAAGTATCAGGCAACGCCGACGATCGAAAGTTCCGCGCTGCGAGCGCGAGGCGAAATTCGACTAACTTTCGCCAGAAACGTCGTCGCGAGAAACGTCACTTCCTTGCAGCGGCCGGGATGTTGAGTTGGGACTTGTCCCAACTCGCGCGCGAAACTCAAGTCGACTCCCAGGTCGACTCGGACGCGCCGAATAATCCTGCGCGAATTCCTGCTGTCCTTGTCTGTACGCGAAAACGATCGAATCGATCCTCGCGAGGCGAAGCGCAACCCGCCGTCCGTACTTCTTGCCGCTTACGAGCTCGCTGACTTTGCGTCGCTTTGCGTGCGCCCCCCTTCGCCGGACCGCACTTTAGTAATTCATATTAATTATAATTAATTAGCAACCGCGACACGTCAACATTTATTCCGCCAAGGTCCCGACGCATCGTTCGTTAACACCGCTCCGCTTTTCGCCTATCATCTGGTGGGTGCGGGGGATTACATTAGCGTTAACCGAATTTCCGCCTGTACACAATTCGAAACGGAACCCGGGATTGAGAGCACGACTCCATCTTGGTCGTTTTCGCCTTCTACAATCGTCGACTGCACCCGCGTGCGCCCGGTAGACTGATTTAATGTGCCCGGTCTCATCGCTCTCTCTCTCTCTCTCTCTCTCTCTCTCTCTCTCTCTCTCTCTCTCTCTCTCTCGCTCTCTCTCTCTCTCTCTCTCTCTCTCTCTCGCCCTCAGTGCTTCTCGACTCTCGCCTGATATTTGTTCTCCTAACATTCCGCCGCTGAATTCGTTTCATTTTCAAACATAAGCACACACGTATGCACACACGCACACACACACACGCACAACACGAGGCTCCCGACACGACGGTAACGATGTTTCCTCACATGTTTCACGTGTACGTCGATCGCCCTCGCGTAATTATAATAAGGGACCTTTGCGCGAAAATGCAGTTTTAATCACTGCCTCTAATTAAGTCAACGCTGCTTGTGCTGTGGGCGCCACGTTGCGAGTTGCGAGATAATAATATGGGAGCGGGTCCTGACAAACTCCACGATCGGGAGAGTGGCACTTGTATTGTCGTGCGCCATTATTATCGTTGATGTGACGTGCAAACTGTGTAGCCAAGTTATTATTAATTTGACATCTTTCATCTTCATCAGTTTATATACCGGCTCCTCTCTCTTTCTCTCTGTTGCGCGCGCGCGCGCGCACGATAATTATGATATTAAACATAAAACAGTGGGCTCTCCCGCAGCCCCGCAGTCTTCTCTGAATAATGTAAATCCTAATTGCAAAGTGCGGTGCAAGGCGGATCGCGTACATTCGCACGCGTATCGACGGACTGAAATTAATTATCAGCTCCCCGGCCGCTTCGCACTCAGTTTCTGAGCAATAACAACTTGACATGATATTTGGCGACCTAGTTAACTTTTAATTGGGGGAGAATACGCGGAGTGCGAGGGATGTAGCGGCGTCGTGAATCGCGGCTAGCGGAAAAGTAACGACGAGCGGCGCGCGGCGGGAAATATTTATCGCGAACCAAGCCGGACCGGATAGGATCTCCCTCTAGTCGGGTAACGACGCCTTCGCGGACTCGTCAGTAGTGCAATCAGGTCTTGATCAGCCGAGGCTACGCGCACCTATGACTATGAGGGTACCTGCACTGACAATCATGCCTCGACGTGGCGCGCGTCATTAGCGACTGCGACTTAAATGCGCCGCTCGCGTTACATAAAGCCGAGCCGACAACGCGCTGAATTCGTTTAACACGATATAATAACACCGTCGCGTCTCTCTCTCTCTCTCTCTTTCTCTCGTGGAAGAAGACGCGTGAACAATCAGTGGAACTGACGCGACACTGAAGGAGCCAGATGGACGTCGCGCTCGAGAGGACTGAACCGTTGCTCCTCGCGCTGCTAAATTCGCTAAATTAAGAAAGAGTGAGTCTAGAAAACGCGAGCAGAGGTGGAATTAAACGCGCAGCCGACAGCGAGCGGACGAAACGAGCTGACGAATATGGTGAACCGGTGACGGAGGAGTGCTGAAATAATCGGTGGAAATTAGCGTGACGGCCAACGTGATAATTTTCTCACAGACGTGTTGCGAGTATACGCACGAGATCCATCCACGGCGATAACGTGGATCGCTCCTCGGCGCGCTGCACGCGCTGCGTGCCTCGATCGTAATTATGATGAAGACTTCGCGCGAGAATGCGGTTTTAATCGCCGCCATTGATGAAATCAACATCGTTGTGTCTAAACGGCGTGTTCACGGAGACTACGCTCCTTGTCTCGAGTGCGCTTGTGCAAGAGAGACGCTTCGATATTCCGACGATCGTCCGACCGCCGTTTCGGCGACCACGAGTACGCTTTTAACGGCGGAAATACATGTAGATCGTGCGATATCGCGATGACGACGCGATATGGCCGAAATAATCGCGGGGGATCGCGACGTTATCGGACAGTCAAATCGGCGCGCGTCGGAGCGTTGAACGAATTTTTGCGCCGCGGGAGCCATCACTTTGCCGCGCGCGCGAAATTGCATCTCGATCTTTCCGCGTCTTCCGCGGACCGAACCGAAAGAAAACGCTTCCGAATATTTTCCCCGCGGATCAACTGCGGATCTTCGCCCGAGGCGTCTCGCCGAAATATCTCTCAGCGGCGCAAATTCTCGAGACACGAACCGGCGTCGCGCGAGTGTATTGTTTCAGCGGAATGTTACGAGGGCCAAGGGGGGGGAGAAAGAAAAAAAGGAAGCAGCAAAGAGGGGCGAATAGAGCGGCGAATCGGCAATCGGCAATCAGTTTTCGAAGCGACAAATTAACACGCTCGTATATAAATAACGAAAATGCTTGCATTTGGAATATCCGCGCAGCGCGAGAATACGGCGAGCGATTTTAACAGGATAACGTAAATTGTTAATTACTACCCCCTTCCTCTCTTTCCCGCGCGCGCGCGCGCGCGCGTAGTAACGTCGCCGATGCGTTGTTGAAAATGATAACACCGTACTAACGGACGCTGCAATTTTCGCGATTCCGCCGATCGACAGCCGGTCGACGTGCAAAAATAGCGCCGCGCGAGTTATGCGTCCGCGGCTCCGAGAAAAAAACCGCGAGACCCGTCGCAAACATTAATTAACCGTCGTTTCGTTCGCTCGCTCGCTCGCTCGATTAAATTTCATATCGGGATGGTAGCCGCAAACATCACCCCTTTCTCCTCCCCCTCCCTCCCCGTCGTCCGACACAATTAAACGTCATTATCTCCGAGTCATTCTGTTGCACGAGCCATCGCGTGTAATGTATCTACGAGCAGCGTATGCGCGCGTGTATGTGTGTGTGTGTGCGTGCGTACACGCATGTACATGCGTTACGTCATGTTAATTGCACGCGAGCGATGCGAGCTCGGAGCAACGAGGAGTGCATAAAGATATTCGTCGACGGGTGATAGGCGATCGGCCGTCTCCCATCGGAGGATTTTCTACGGCCGAATTTACATTCGCCGGGCCGGCGGGAGGGAGGAGCACAGAGGGGAGGGAGAGAATGCGTGCCTTCTCTACCTGTTACTAAACGGGACGTAAAATGCAGCGTTAAGTAACTTTCCGATCGGAGGCGCGATAACGGCTTGAAGCTGCTCGTTAATCTTCCTTACAGCGGACAACCTTATCGCGCGGTATCGGCTTCCGCGTTTAAAGAATAGTCACGTCTGCCGAAACGAGTGGGAGAAGTGCGCGCAAAGCACATTCGCGCTATTTGACAGCTCTCGCGGCTTTGCGTGCGGATAATGAGACGAGAAGGGAGGGGAGAGGGGCAACGAAGGGAACCGCGTTCGAGCGGATCTCCTC